CTGTTGTTGTGATATTGTTGCTGGGTGTAGTTGCATTGACTGTTGTTGTTATATTGTTGCTGGGTGCAGTTGCATTGACAGTTGTTGTGATATTGTTACTGGGTGTAGTTGCATTGACTGTTGTTGTTATAGTGTTGCTGGGTGTAGTTGCACTGACTGTTGTTGTTATATTGTTGCTGTGTGTAGTTGCATTGACAGTTGTTGTAAAATTGTTGCTAGGTGTAGTTGCATCGACTGTTGTCAAATTGTTGCTGGGTGCAGTTGCATTGACTGTTGTTGTTATATTGATGCTGGGTGTAGTTGCATTGACAGTTGTTGCGATATTGTTGCTGGGTGTAGCCGCATTGTCTGTTGTTGTTATATTGTTGCTGGGTGTAGTTGCATTGACTGTTGTTGTTATATTGTTGCTGGGCGTAGCTGCACTGACTGTTGTTGTTATATTGTTGCTGGGTGTAGTTGCATTGACAGTTGTTGTGATATTGTTGCTGGGTGTAGCTGCATTGTCTGTTGTTGTTATATTGCTGCTGGGTGTAATTGCATTGACTGTTGTTGTTATATTGTGGCTCCGTGCAGTTGCATTGATAGTTGTTGTTATATTGTGGCTGGGTGTAGTTGCATTGACAGTTGTTGTGATATTGTTGCTCGGTGTAGTTGCATTGTTTGTTGTTGTTATATTGTTGCTGGGGGTAGTTGCACTGACTATTGTTAGAAAATTGTTGCTCGGTGTAGTTGCATTGACTGTTGTTGTTATATTGTGGCTAGGTGTAGTTGCATTGACTGTTGTTGTTATATTGTTGCTGGGTGTAGTTGCATTTACAATTGTTGTGATATTGTTGCTGGGTGTAGTTGCATTGACTGTTGTTATATTGTGGCTGGGTGTAGTTGCATTGACTGTTGTTGTTATATTGTTGCTGGGTGTAGTTGCACTGACTGTTGTTGCTATATTGTTTCTGGGTGTAGTTGTATTGACTGTTGTTGTTATATTGTCGCTCTGTGCATGTGCATTGACAGTTGTTGTGATATTGTTGCTGGGTGTAGCTGCATTGTCTGTTGTTGTTATATTGTGGCTGGGTGTAGTTGCATTGACAGCTGTAAAGTTGTTGCTCCGT